GCCTGCTCCTTGTACTCAGCCACCACCGTACGAGCAGTCACGGGGATGGGCGGGTATGCGGCCGGCCGCTCGCCCTGAAGGCGGGCAACTTCCTCAGTTCTCTGCACAGCCAAGCCATGTGTCCCCAGAATGAGCAGGGCCCCGTTCCTTGTTCTCTCCGCCAAGCGGCTACCAGGAATCCCTCTGTGCTGTTCTCCTGGCCTTGGAGCCAGCCAGCCGCCTGCAGGGCGAGTTCCCAGCCTCACATCCGTCCCACCCCTGTGACTGCGGGGCGCCTGGTGAGATGGAAGGATTCCGATTTCACAGGGTGTTGAAAATGAGTTGTTTGTAACATAGTAATTTCCTTGGAAAGACTGTACTAGAGGAAGAATGGTAGTGGGAAACCCACACTGAATGTGTGTTTGGGGGAGTGGTTCCAGATAGCCTGTTCATGTTCGAGCCCTAATGTTTTGGCTTTTTTTTTCCCCATTAGGTACAGGTTAAATTTTTGTTCAAAACGTAGCAGTATTGTGGGATTTACACTAACTTAAAGTGACACCTGGAAAGGTTGAGTGACTTGCCTGTGATAGACTGCAAAGGCCAGCCTTCCCAGAGGTGATGATGTTGTCTGTCCCTATCTGGCTTCCTTTGCATCAGCCACTACTCCCACGTTTGGCTTTGGAAACTTGCCAAGACATGAATATTGCTTTCGAGGACTGTTTAGTATGAGGGACCGTCACCAGCAATTAAGAGCCCAACAGAACAAGCACTGGGGAGGAACACTGAGGAATGGCACAGGGGAAGTGGGGAGTTTTTTGTTTGTTTGGGTTTCGAGGCAGGGTTTCTCTGTGTAGCCCAGACTGTCCTGGAACTCACTCTGTAGGTCAAGCTGGCCTTGAACACATAGGTCAGCCTCACTCTGTCTCTGGGAATGCTGGGATTAAAGGTGTGCACCACCACCCCCAGCTCCTGGTTAATAGTTTTCACCAGGTGTGGTCTTTAATTCTCCAAAGAATCCATGGTTATCCTCTGGTCTTCAGGGCATGCATGTGGTACATAGACATACATGCAAGCAAAACACCGATATACATATAACAAAAAAATTAACTTTAAAGGAAAGCCAAACAAGTAGTCCTTGAATTTATAGCCTATAGAGGAGAAAAGAAGTCTGTTTCCTTTGTCTTGTAAGGGTTCCAAAATCGGTTATAGGTGATAGTCTATGAGTGTTCCCAGAGCATGCCTTATTGATTCGTAGAAGGCCTACATTTCCCACAGTATGGGTCCTTGTAGTTTTGAGTTAGTGGTTACATGAAGAGGTGATAAACATTACTTCCAGAAGGAAACATCTGATTGCTGGCACAAGTATCTCAGGCTGGCTACTCCCCTGTTGTGGTTTTAGAGATGCTTCAAGAGAATTGCTACAAGGTACAAGCCAGGAGTGCTGAGGCACTGGTGCAAAGTCTCCTCAAACTTCTATAGGCTTTGCTTAAATAAGAAGTAACTCTTATGGGGTAGGGGATGTGACTCAGTGCAAGGCCCTGGGTTCTATCCCCAACACCACAATAATATATAGACTTATTTTACTGCACCAGTGGGATTTTACATTTGGTAAGGCTGTATAATCTAAATTGTTTAAACAGGTATTATTTAGTTTATGGATAAGGGCAGTCTGTTTTTCTTGGTTTTGTTGTTGTTTTTTGGGGTTTTTTTTGTTGTTTGTTTGTTTTGGTTGTAGGGCCACCCTGTGTAGCCCAGGCTGGCCTGGAACTTGTAATCATCTTGCCTCAGCCTCTCAAGTTTCTGGAATTATAGGCATCGGCCACTACATGTAGGCAAGTGTGAGGAACCGTGAGTGAAATGAATAAAAGTATTATGGTTTCTGTTTTTCCATGTTGTATACTCCTGGTTCTGAATTTTGGTGACATTTAACCAGTGTTTTACCAGTTACATCATCCAGCGTGCCATTATCAATCCTATGACTGCTGTTGTCCTAACTCTCAGTAATACATAATTTAGTATTATAAAGTATTTCTAAAAATTGGGGATTGGAGTGCTTAGCTCCAGCTTATGATTATGATGGTCTTTGTTGTTGGTGGTGGTTTTTTCTAAAGATTTTTTTTTTCCCTTTAAGATTCCAGTTCTACAAACAAACAATGGTCCAAGTCTAACGGGATTGGCTACCATTGCCACCCATCTAGTCAAACAAGCCAGTAAAGAGCACCTGCTGGGGAGCACTGCAGAAGAAAAGGCCTTGGTTCAGCAGTGGTTAGAGTACAGGATCACCCAAGTGGACGGACACTCCAGTAAAGAAGACACCCACACCCTGCTGAAGGTATCTTGACTATGTGTGTAGGCTGTATGGCAGGAGCCAGGAAGTGCAAGTCCTTCTCCTTGGGACTCACTTGGTGGCCTTCTTTCCCCTTCCCCTTTGCACTGAGATGAGGCATCTACACAGAGACTTAGCAGGACAATGGTTACCAGCGCCTAGAGGGAAGGGAGAGGAAGAGCCATTTAATGACACTGCTTTAGTTTTGCATGATAGAAAAGCTTTGAAGATTGCTTTGAAACTGTTAACATGCTTAACATACAGGCTCTGCTTTCCAGGTACAGCCTTAAAATGGTTAGGTGGCAGATTTTATGTTACGCATATAATCCTAATTAAATTATTAATATATACTGATATATATAGCAAAGTGTTTGAAATATATTTATATATTTTTATATGTATTTATAGGTATGTATATCTATTTTGCTTGTGTGTGTATATACATATCAAAAACCAATAACAATTTTCTGGAGAGAATCATCTGAGAATTTTTTTATGTTGGGAAAAATTTAACAAGAGCATGATTTTTATTTTTTAAATTTTGCATCTGTAGTTTGTGTGTATGTGAAGGTTATATATGCGTGTGTGTGCTTGAGCAGGTGGGGTCAGAGGTCAACCCCCAGTGTCTCCTATTTTTTTCCACCTTATTTGGTTGAGACAAGTTCTCTCACTAAACCCAAAGCTCACAGATGGCTAGAGAGGTTGGCCAGCAAGTTCTAGGGGTCCACCTGTCTCTACCTCCTCTAGGGTTATAAGGCATATAGTGCTGTGCTCAGCTTTTATGTGGATGCTGAGGGTCTCACCTGAAGTGATGTACCCGTGCTGTGTGCAGGCACTGACACTGAGCCTTCTTCCCAGCCAGAGTGAGTATGCAAAGTCTCAGTACTTTTCTTTTGGGCAGCTGTCTAAATGTTTTAAGTCATATGTCACAACAGCTTCATCGTTGCTGTTTTTAAATTAGAACACTTTTTCTTTTTATAGGATCTTAATTCTTATCTTGAAGATAAAGTCTACCTTGCAGGATATAACATCACCTTGGCAGATATCCTACTGTACTACGGGCTCCATCGCTTTATAGTGAGTATTTAGGTGGTTGTTAGCTTTTTTTCTGTAATATTCAGAATCTCCTTTTTTTTTTTATAAACGTGAATTTCTAATCAGATTTACATTTCAGCTTATCAAAAAAAAAGTTATTTTTAAACAAGGCAACTGTAGGCAAAACTTGCCACATGGTCCATTTGTAGAGCTGCGCCCTCTCTTCTACTCTTGACTACTGTATTTTTAGCTTCTGTTTCTGTTCTTCTTCCACAACTACTGCCTCTGGTTCTGTCATCATCACCACACACACACACACACACACACACACACACACACACTCCCCCCCACACCCCGTCTTGTGTGCACCTTCCTACCCAATCAGGTGTCTTGGTTGCATAATTTAGTTACTCTTATATACTTATTTCCTTGCCATCAAGTGACACTCTATTCTTCTTGACTTGAGCCACATCTTACTGCCACCGTCAGCTTCTTTGCTGTGCTCTATAGTTACCGCCACATTTTATGTGCACAAAGAGCTCTGTTTGAGAAATTACCTAGGTATAGCTTGCTAGCCTTAGAAAGTCTCTCACTCGGATTGCAGCGGAGCTGATGTAGTGATCAGCTCTCCTTCCTTCTGCACGTCTGTAGGTGTTTCTCCCTCTGACTTCCTTGCCACACAGCCTTTCCCTTTCACAGTCTTCTTCCTCGTTCATTGAATTCTTTCATCCTCAGCCCGCCTGCCTATAAACACCCTTTTCTCCCATGCCTGGCCTCAGAAGGGCATCCCCCTGGCCTCACTCAGCTCCCCTTCCTTGCCAACCCTTTCTGGATCGTCTCACAAACTGTTTTCTTTTTTTCTCTCATCCCATCACATTTATCCTCTAAGTACCTGGTTAATCTCTACATTTTAAATCACGTGTCATCATCTAATTTACAATTACGAACACTCCCTGTTTTCTTTACACTGTTCTTTACTCTGTGTAAGTGTCAGCTCATTACTCCTTGAAGTATTCCTGGGAGGTAGGTACTATTAACTGAGATACAGCAAGGTCAGTAGGTATCATCTAACTAATGGACAGACCCAAGTCCAGAACCCGGGCAGTTTGTCTTGAGTTCATGCCTTCTTAAATCTTTTTCTCTGCCTTAAAAAAAGTCTCTCAACTCCCCATACCTCCCACTCTTCTTCCATTGTGGGAAAAGAAGGCTTCATAACATTTTCTGTATTTTCCACTTCATGTATCCAGTCAGGGCCTGATGTTTCCACTTGCTGGGTCCTCTGGCCCCTATCTCTTCCTGAGATCTGGAGTAACTTTTGCCTGAGTATCACTCAGTTTTGTTATCTCTGGTCCATATAAAGAAGATAGAAATAAGCTGGGCTCTATGAGATGAGCCTGGTGGCCACTAGGCCAAGCTTTCTTAAGACCAGGCCTTTTCTCCCTTAATAATTCAGTAATTCCTTAATCCCAGTAAGTTCAGTTTGTCAGCATGAAAGGGCTTTCTTCTGGCTCCTGCCTCCTTTCTGGCTTTGGCACTAACATGCTGGGGTAGAGATTTCTTTTCTGTCTGGCATAATTCCTGGCATAGAGTCAGGCTTCCATAATAACAAGTAAATGTGAATATTACTGTATGTGTCCAAGGAGTAGAATACATACATACTCATGTAGATATATTTGCTGGGACTAAGGCAGATCTTTCTAAGTGTCTTAATGTATAGAGAAGAAACCCTTTGTAAACTGTAAGCTCGCAGAGTAAGAAGTGACACATTAGATTCTGCCCTCTTCAGTAGCAGATTCCACATTACCCGACTTAGCCAACCACAGAGCAGAAGTACAGAAAAAAATCACGTCTGCATTGAGCACACACAGACCTCTCTTGTCTTTACCTCACCACTACAGTGTAACATCTGCTTTATCCCAAGTAAGCAGATGGTGTGTTAGCGCCAACCTCCCACAGAAACTACCATGGCCTAAGCCATACTTCTCGGTATGGACTTACTTTACTTTATTACCAGTTATTCCCCAAGTTGGGTATGGTGACACACACCTATTGCGCAATCCAGGAGACAATCTGTAATCCGTAAGGTCGAGATATCTTTATTGTGATAAATACCAGCCAAACGCAAGGCAGAGCATCGAAGCCAGGGAGAAGGGGAAGGAGAAGAAGAAGGGGCTTCCATGTGCTTGCAATTTCTTAAGAGCCCATGCCGCGTCATCCTGACCTCACCTTGACCACCCCTTGACAGGTGTGGTCAGGCACACCTGTAGCCAGCCTCTAACAGGCCTGGCTTACTGTCCCCTACTCACACCTACAATCCCAGCACTTGGAAGACTGTGGCAGGAGGGTTGCCACAATTTCAGGGCTATCCAGAACTACATAGGACACAAGAGGCTTTCTGAAGTGGGTACATTAGGTTCTGTAACAATGTAATGGCCTAGTAGATTAGCTTAGCATAGCACTCCCTATTTTATACTTAAAATTATCAAGAGCCTTCTGTGTTGCCCACCATGCTATATTTGAGAGGAGCATAAAAGAAGCATAAACCTTTATTTTTCAAGGAACTACCAATCTCGTTGAAAAGATAGATTGTTTAAAATAAAAATAGAAAAAATTAGAGAAAATGGGACCAAGTACTGATTTCTAGTCAGAATATAATTTGGTCATTTGAAGAGTCGGGTAATGCAGGAAAAAGACACATGACAAATATGTACAGAATATGATTGTCCTTGGCTACCCAAAGGAATTGTCATTATATAAAGTTTCTAACAGGTAGAATGGCCATGTAATTTCTCATCAAAAAGGAACGTGTTTAGCTGTGAAAGGAAGCTTTTCATTACTCTGCTAGTACAGGGAAATGTAGTAGGCGAATGGTCCCTCAATTTAGAAGGAATATGACTCCACAAAGCCAGGAATGGTGAAGCTGGTGTCCTATTTCTTTGTCCCCTTCCTGCCTCTCAGCATAGTGGCTTATCCACATGCAAGCTTGTGAGATTAGCAGTATTCGGTATTCTGTGTTCCTGTTTTCCGCTGTGCGTCTTCAGTGAAACTCAGTGTTTGGTTCTGTTCTTGAGGATATTTAGAGTGATTTATGCACATGGGAAGAAAGCCTCATGGGAGCTGAAACACCAGTCACTGCAGCCTCCTTTATCCCGTTCTAGCTTCTTAGCATCCTGAACTTAGAATGATGACGTGGCAGAACTTTCCTCATTTCACAATGAAAAAAGCCTCCAAGGTAAAGAGGATTTGCTGCTAAGGGATTTAACTATCTCTTCTGGTGGCAAACAACTTGGGGGAGCCCCTGACTTGACCTGAGCAAGTCCATGGCTGAAAGGGCAGTTACATCTCAGCAGAGTTGGTCAATTTACACATTTAGCCATGGCACATATTTTGGTGTTAATGTTTGAAAGCTTAATACTGGGGCTGGAGAGATGGCTCAGAGGTTAAGAGCACCAACTGCTCTTCCAGAGGACCTGAGTTCAATTCCCAGCAACCACATGGTGGCTCACAACCATCCGTTATGAGATCTGGTGCCCTCTTCTGGTTGCAGACATACATGGAAGGACAATATTGTATACATAATAAATAAATAAAATCTAAAAAAAAAAAAACATTACTAAAATAAAATATATTTTTAAAAAAAAGAAAGCTTAATACAGGGAGAAATGTGCAGTGACTGTCAACAAGCTGATGGTTATCTACAGAGCTCTAAGGTCTGGCTTCCTACAGCATAAAGAAGGAAGAATTCTCCCATCTAATTCAAAACAAAGATGATGATAAACTTTGAAACTTTGTATGAAACTCATGCAAACTAAGTGTGTGTTTGTGTTCTCTTCTGCTGGCTCCTACAGATCATGGGCAGGAACCTGTGCAACATTGCTCTGCCATAGCAGCAAACGTAATCATAATTTTACAGCACAAACTACTCCTAGCTCCACCTGCAGTTACATAACTCTGAGTTAGGCATCTTGAAAGGCCTTTGGTTTTCAGGAGACTTTCAACTATTCCCTCAGTTCTGGATATCAGGGCTATCCTAATCTTTAGCTATTTAAACCTACTTATATTTTCTATTCTGGAGTATATATCTTCTATATCTGTAGTGACTGTTATGATTAAAGGTATTAAGGTTATCATTTTTAAAGCAGCATTAAAAGGAATAATTCCTAAATCTCTTTGTTGACCATTGCTTTGGGTTTATATGAATCAAAGTGTGTGCCCTTCCTTTCCCAGTCAGAGAGCAGGCAAGATATTCACAGGAAGAAAGACCTTCTTAAAGAATAGGTCTCATACACTAATACCCTGTGGAGATAGGGTGACACCATGGTATTAAGTGACATTTTGTTCATTGGATCTGTGTATACACAGGTGTGAGAAAAGTGACTGCAAGGTGTTAAGTTTGGCTTGGCCATCTGCTTGTGTTCATCAGCTTTTCCAGCTTTGTTCACTGTAGCAGTGTACTGATACTTGCCCAATCCTGTATAGTCCTTCATTTAGTATTTGATGATGTTAAACCCTTGCTCTGTAATCAGCATAGTGTATGAAACAAAACATTCTACAGTCAAGGAACCTTTGGGTCATCAAATCTCCTCCTCAGATTGTTTCTGTTGGAAGCACAGAGAGAGTTACAACTCTGGCCAAGTTCTGAGATCGGGTTTCACTTAATGCATCTTAGCATGATGTTATGCTTTGTCAGCATAACAACATGTGGCCGTTGATTCCAGCTCTAGCACCAACTGCTTTCTTTAGTGATTCCACTAAGAGATGGTCCCTTATAGTCATACTGTGCCTTGAGATTGGTAGAGTCCTTTGTGGTGCTGTGGCTGACCCATAAGGTTGTTCTGAGCACCAGTGGAATATGGGTTATTTGAGGAGAAGGACAAGAAGTCACTACGAAGCAGTCTCATTAATACCGACTGTCCAGAGACAGCCTGGTACCAATGGAAGGATAAAGCCAGCACTAAAGTCAGGCTGCAAAGAGTGGGAAATAAGTAAATCAGAATGTTATCTATTAGGTTTTAAGGCTCAAAGTAATTACTGAGTTCCAGTATAAGCAAAAATGAGTAGGCTGGTAGAAAGAGCCCGCACCACCAGACACACTGGTGTCTAGACCAGTGAGAAGCAGGAAGCAGCATTTGCATTGTGTTCCCTCTTGTTGAAAAAAAAGTAAAATAAAATAACTAGGTGAAAGTGTTAGAAAACTATTGTTATTGTTATAAATGAAATAGCCCAGGGATCACATCAGAACCATTTTTTTTTAAATAGTGTGAGTACGGTAAAGTGAAAAATCTCTTGCTTAGTTTGTTGACAGTAACTTTATGTGAAAAATGTTCCAATGTTTTTAAAAAGTACCAGAGGTGACATGCCAAGTTCAGTCATCATTTTCTCAGGCTCAGACAAATTCCAAGGCCTAAGCAGTCGAAGAAAAGTATGCTCTGATCCATTCAGGAAGCCTGTATGTTTCTAGTGGAAGAGGGGGTTAGCTTAAATCAACTGAGACTACTGTGCACTAGGTCACATATCCAAAAATGGTTGGATTAAACTTGAAAATATTAGGATAGTTAGAAGCTACTAGAATAAAAATGATTTTATACTTAGGATGGACTCTAGTTCTTACAAAGTTTCTGTAATAAAAATTAACCTTTACACTAAAAAAGACTCTCTTGCTCAGTCTTGACTAATACTTAGGGATTTTTTTTTTTAATCTCCATATGATGAGTTTGTTCTTTTAATGTAGACAAATGGTGGTAATTACAACTTTCTGATAACTAGCCACAGTTACTCCTCTTGAAACAAGATCCGTACATTTATAGTTTGTTACAGCAGCTTGTGTGCAGATGGTCCAAATAAATAGAGCTGACAAGTAAAATGTTAATTAAGAGGCTGTTTACTCTTTTACTGTTAAGGTTGTTTTATGTTTTGTAATAGTTATTGCACTCTAGTTTGTCCTTCATTTTACTAGGTCCTGTGACTTGACAGGTATTTGTCTTTAGGCACACCTATATATAACCTTGGTACATCATCTCACTAAAGTGCCTCCAGACATGCAGACCTCTGCTTGGGTGTGGACCTGTAGGGCCCAAGTTATTTGTGTTTATTTTCTTTGTGCTATAGAGACTTATATGTCCTTTATCAATGTTAAGTTAATCACAGGAGAAGGGGTTGTACCATCCACACATGGGCTCACAGCTGCCAGTTACTGCTCTATTTGGCTTCCTCTTGCTGAACAACTTAATTCCAAAATTCGTCTTAGAGAAAAGTCTTGAGTTACTGCCTACTGTGGAATTTGATCCCCAGGGAACGATAAACACCTCTGTCTTTGCATCCAAGATAGTAGGTCATGTGAGTCACTGCTGCATCCACTATTATGTACTTTTTCCTTTTTATTAAATGATGTTCTTGTTCTCTTGTTAAATACATTAGACATCAAAAACTCATTTTGAGGCTTAGAAATCAGAGAAGGAACTATATCTTAGCCTTTTGAAAGCTCCCCCCCCCCCCCTGTTGAGACAGGGTTTCTCTGTCCTGGAATTCTCTAAAAGATCTGCCTTCCTCTGCCTCCCAAGTGCTGGGGTTAATGCAATGCGCCACCACTGCCTGGCTCATTTTCTTTTTCTAAAAACCTCTTTGGGCCTCTATATTCTATATTAATGTCAATTTTTGTATTTATGGAAAGCTTGATGTTTTCCTGGAAAGCACATCTGATTTTGAACTGAGCATAAAATAATTAAATGTATTGCTGTCACAACTGTCAAAGCTCTCCCTTCTGTGTAAACATGTTGGCTTTGAAAACTGGGGGATTGGGTGTTTTTCAGTTTCTGTCAGTTACCTCCTAGTGCTGACAGCTCTGCTTATGTGCAGTGAACATTTTATTTTGTGTCTTTGATCTCTACTTAGGTTGACCTGACAGTGCAAGAAAAGGAGAAATATCTTAATGTGTCTCGCTGGTTTTGCCACATTCAGCATTACCCAGACATCAGGCAACATCTGTCTAGTGTTGTCTTCATCAAGAACAGACTGTATGCTAACTCCCACTAGAAGATCCTTCTTGGCAGCAGCAAGATTAGAAGTGTAAAATGTATTTTGGACCATGGTTCTAATGTAAATTAATGTGATGTCATTGTTTCTTTGTTAATGTTGGTAGAATTTTTGAAATGTAAACTCAAGTCTGAATGTTTTATTTGTCCCTTATTTTAATGTTTGCAGTTTTTTAATGTAAAAATTCAACTGTTATTCAAGCAAATCACGATTAGATTATAAATTATCTCATATTTATAGGTGAAATTTATTTTAATAAAATTTGCTTATCAGTGGCAGAAACTTAAAAAAAAAAGTCACCCTGTCATCAGTGTTTCATATCTGGCTTTTATGTGTTTTTAAAATTCATTTTCCTCCTAGATGTTTATAGTAGTTTATTAAAATCCATGATAAATTATGCTGAGGATTTAGAAAGGGAAGATGGATATTTGTTCTTAAAATATTTATGTGAGCTAGTAAATGTGATTTTAAAAATCATCTTTGGTTTGTTTCTTTCTTTTCTGTAGTCAGTATTTACCAAGGTGAAATTACTGAACCCTCTCCGAGAAGGAGTTAGTTAATTCATTCCTCCTAAGCTAGTGACTCCTTTTTCTTGTCAGGCATATTGAGAGACACAGTGACTTAAGCTGGGCTTCAGCATGCCATTGCTTGACAGAAAGCCGGCCAGCACTCTCAGAGTCTGCCATTGCAGCAGGGACACTAGGACACTGTGAAGAGCAGGGACACTAGGACACTGTTAACCACGGCTCTATCCATGCTGTAACTCACTACTGTAATATTAACAGGTTATTGTGACTTTAAAAGCTTGTCTGTCCAAGTAAGAGAATAGAATCAGGCATATCATAGCCTCACATGTTTGTAACCCGACCACAGGGTGGTTGAGTCAGAAAGGATCACAGATTCAAAGCCAGCCTGGACGCAGGGGAACTTTGACTTAAAGAGAACAATGAAGGGCTAGGGTGTAACTCAGCTGTGAGTGCATACCAAGCACGAATAAGTCCTGTGTTCAGTCCCCAGAGACAGAAGGGAGGAGGCCCTAGGTAGTATGTCTAAAGTTCTGGGGGGTAGGGGCAAAGTAAGAAATTTGGAAATATTTAGCACTTTGTTTGTGTCTTGTTATCCCTAAGCATATGATTTTAAGCAAAGCAAAAGCCCCACTTCCAAAAATTGCTACAAAGGAAACCAGTGTTTAAACACTTGTGTTTTGGGGGACATCTTAGCTCCAGACTATCAGTGTTCAATAGAATAATATTTATAGTATTTAATATTTCAGTGAACAAATGAAGTGGTTGCATAGTTTAGCAGTTATATTACAAGGATTGTAGCTCAAAAAAGAAGTGTAATATAAGTCAGATTTAAATAGACCACTCTCACCCTATATTAGTGATAAGACTGGTAAGTCAATGCATTTATCTAATGAAATTCTCCTTCTAAGCAGAGGTAAGGATCAGTGAACTTGTTTCACCTTTGATGGTAATCATAAAAACTCCATGTCAGTCTCGTCCCCACTGCCATCTCTGAGATGCCAGCCTACTCAGCATGTGATGCCATCTGAGACAAGACAGAGGATGGCAGTACATCATCTGTGGAAAAAACAAATTCACATTACCACCTGTGAAATTCAGTCTCCTTGAAGATGTAGATGATTTCACATTGCCGTTTATCCTTATGTTTCTGAGGCATCCGTAAGATGCATCTAAAATGTGGCCACTCAAGTGTGTGCTGTTCCTTCTGAAAAAGTGGATACCTCTTTCCCACCATTTCCATCTATAATGCCCCAAAACCTGCTTCGCTGACCATTCAGTGATTGTGTAGTGTGTGCTTAGCATTTGCCATAGATAGATAGGCTTCAAGACCTGAGGGTAACATACAACACATTGTTGCTCTTAGAGAATCTACACTCCGATCACCTGTGAACAGGTTCCTGAGACAGGGCACACAAAAAGATTCCTTTGGGAGCTACCTGACCCCACCATTCTCTGCAAGTAAATACTAATTATAGAATATAACTGTCTACTGTGTTCTGGGCCCCGTACTGGAAACTTCATGTTAACTCATGCTAACTTACTAAGCAAGGAGGGTTGACTTTGCCACATAATAAGCAATACTTCAGACCATGGTGGAATAAATGAGAATCATGACCTTTCAGGGTGGGTGACAGCCTGTCTATAGTGTTCACTGATGCTCTTGTGCCGATAATTTACATGTCTACTACATACAAATTTCAGACACAGAAAAGAACTCCAGGCAGGAAAGCATTGCTCTTCAGTCAAGCGTCCATGTGTTCATTCATTCATTAGAATAAATACTAGTTTAAAATAATAAAAAAGCAATATCAAAAGAGGTCACTTGTTCATAGACAGTTACATGAAATTCATTTTTTTGAGCCAACTTCCCAGCTGAATACATCTTCCAGTAAATGGATTATTTTAGTAAGGTTTCACAGACATAGTTGTTCCCCACCATCTATCTGTTCACAGGTAAATGGTATAAGAAACCCTAGCTGATAACTGAAGCTACAAATAGTACCAAACTATGCTTTTTCCTGTATATGCATGCATTTGATGAAAATTATAAATTAGGTACAGTAAAAGACAAATGGTAGAGTAACATGAAACAATTATAACAATACATTTCTGCCACAACAGTTAATCTGGCAATCAAGATAGTTATTAAGTAACTAGTGGGTGACCAGGATATACAATGTGGATACACTGGACAAAGGTAATTAGCATTAGGGCAGAATTTCACCATGCTGCTCGGAAATACAATGTAACATGAATCATTTATTTCTTGGAATTACCACTTAATATTTTTGATCTACACTACTAGTGGGTAACTAAAACCATGGTGAAATCTTTCTTGAAATGGGACTGCTGTATAAGGGAATTTTCATGTCTTACTTCCTGTTAAAAGATTCCTTTCACCTCTTGATAACTTATAGGCAGGGTCAGAAACAAACACCATAAGTAGGTTTCCTACAAGGACGAAGACAAGAAGGTGACAGCAGAAAGATGGCTCACTGCCAGCACATCGTGTTCACTGCCCCTTAAAAATCTAATTTATTAGATCCTTGCTTGAAGTCTGTCCAGAATAGCTTCAAGATACGATGATAAAAAATTTAAACAGATCTTCCATTAGGACAGTATAGATCTGCCCTGTAATCAGCTACACATACATCACTCCAAACGATAAAATACACAACTGTTTGACAAGTAGTCAAATTAGAATCACAGTGAACTGTAGCCTTTTCAGTTATATTTTTTTCCTTAACATTTCACTTCATTCCTTTAAAAAAAAAACAAGACAAATGTTACATGAACTTTAATATTAATCTAGCTTTGGCAGAGATGTGGTGATTTAATGGATTAGAGCATTTAGCTTTTTTACCCTAGAGAGCAATATTTCTTCTTTCTCTCCATAATTAGATAATCCGCTGCTACCCATTACCAAGGGCACTAAATTTCAAATTCTCTGTACACCTGAACAGGCTGCTACATATCTGGCCATCTTAATTTTAGTCTTGATTTATGGACACTGAATTACATTCCTAACCCTTCCTGGAGCTCTGGGTGAATTTTATTGCAAAAGCAATGGAGAGAAAAGTTAGCATCATATATCTCTCTTGCCGGGCAGACTTTTAGACACACAAGGGGCTCCACATCCCGCTGTTCCATGTCTTGTATGGTGGATTTATAACACTGTGAAGCCCAGCTCTAGGGTTACACGCAAGCATATCACAGATGAGATGGGGAATTTGATTTTGCAATAATGATTACTTGTTGCGGAGCCCAGATTCCTGCAGGCTCTGCCTCTATTCCCCAAACGGCCTGTGAATAAAACTAATTCCTACTGCTTCCCAATTTAGTAAAACTCATCTGTCACCGAGCATAGGGAGGCCAAAAGAAGGTAGGTGGAAAGTCAGGAGAACCTAGGAGATTGACCATTTTTGCCATATGTCTCAAGTGTCTCTCTACTTCTGTGATCATGCTTCCTTTAGGAGTATTCTGACTTTTAAGACTTTTTGCTTCCTTGTGAGGGAATAGAAGCCCTGAATCTTTCCAGCTCAGTGACTTAATTTGATAGTTCCCTTGTGCTGTCGTTTCCACTTCCACAAGGCCAGGTCCCTAGGGCTTGCCGGTTGGATTATAGATCCTGCAGATTTGGCCTGCCGTTCCTGCTGAGTATCATCTGTCCCTGCAGTCTTGCCATGGATAAAATGTATTCTCCCTCACATCATCTGCTTGAGAAATCTGTGCCTGGCAGGCCTGTCTGTCCACGTTAAATCTGAACTACAGTAGCCACACAACTAATTTGACAAGGCATAGCTTTAAATAAGAAGGCCCCAGGCTTGCTTTGACCAAGACAAGAAACTTCCAACCCCCAGATTACAAATTCCAAAGCTCCATTGGTGCCGTCTCTGAACTAGACCATTCCTGTGATTTACGCTATCTGTGTGTGCCTCGTGTCTCTTTCTCGTCTGCAGCACTTACCTGGCATGTCTTAAAGGTCCTTAGAGACTTTTAAGTTGCTGACTAGCCTTTCCAGTACTGACTTCAGCACTGGAGCCCTATCTGTTGGATTAAACAACTCAGTATAGCAATGTCCCTTAACCACAGAGGATACATTCCACAGAGGTTGCCTGGAACCTAGGTCATACCTCAGTTAGCTTTCTGTTCCAGATAACAAAATCCCTAGGATCATTAACTCAGAATATAGACTGTGCTTCCAGGCTTTGGGAGTTCCAGCCCATGGTGGTTTGCTGGGCCCTTTGCTCCTGGTGCTTTAGCGTCTGAGGCGAGGCAGCTTATCAAGGCTGGGAGTTTGTGAGTCAAGCTGCTCAGCTCACGGCCAGAGGGGTGTGGGGTGTGGTGGTAAAGAGGAGAAGAAAGGAGACGGTGGCATCCCAAAACTTCCTTCACGAACATGCCATAAGTGACCTTATGACCCTCCCTAAGGCCCCATCTTTTAAAGACTCCACCACCTCCAGTAGCACCGAGTTGAGGTCCAAGTCCTTATTGACACACAGGCATTTGAAGAACATTCCAAAACCCCAACTATAGCAGTATCGTGTAGAATAGGGATCTTTTATACATATACATACATTTGTTAAAATGCAAATTATAAGTTAGAGACTTTTCTGTTACTGTGATAAAATAGCATGATCTCAACTTTATTTTGGTTTATGGTTTCAGAGGGATAGAGTTTCATGGTGGGAAAGGCATGGCATGAAAGCAGGAACAGGAAGCTGGCTGATCACATTTTATCTACATGTAGGAAGCAGAGAGCAGGAAG